GTACTGGGTTCAACAGTGCAGTTATTTGAGTGACTACTACCTCACTCAAAAGATTTTAGGGCAAACTTAACTGGTTAATAATGTTAGAAGCCGGGCTCGGTGGCTCAGTCTGTAATCCCGTGCCTTTGGGAGGCTGAGGTGAGTGGATTGCCTGAGCCCGCGGGTTTGAGACCCGCCTGGGCAGCGAGACCTCATCTCTACGATCAATCAAAAGATCAGCCGGGCGTGGTAGCGCGCGCCTGTAATTCCGGCTACTCGGAAGGCTGAGGCGGAAGGATTGCCGGAGCCCAGCAGGTCGAGGCTGCGGTGACCGGGAGTGGCCACTGCACTCCCATCTGGGTGACAGAGTGAGATTCCAACTCAAAAACAAACAAACAAAAAAGTCAGCTTTACCAATCAGAAACAGCCAATTAGGCTGGGCATGGTGGCTCATGCTTGTAATCCCAATGCTTTGGGAGGCCAAGGCAAGAAGAGTATTGCTTGAGCTCAGGAGTTCAAGATCAGCCTGGGCAACACGGCGAGACTTTGTCTCTACAATGAATCAAAAAATTAGCTGGGAATGGTGACATGTGCCTATAGTCCCAATTACTTGGAAGACTGGGGTGGAAGTATCGCCTGAGCCCAGCAGATTGAGGCTGCAGTGGCTGTGAGCATGCCACTGCACTCCAGCCTGAGCAACAGAGTGAGACTCTGACTCAAAAAGGGGAAAAAAAAAAAGAAAAGAAACCACCAATTAATATCTAACTAGAGATTTTATCAGTCAGAAAATGCCAAGTAACCCCTAATCAGGGACTCTCCGCTTTAACCAATCAAATGTTTTCTTTGTCTTGCTTCCTTCTGCCTTGGGTTCCCTTGTGCTGAATGGCTTGCAGTTGGGCACTGCCCAGTTCATACATTGCTGAAAGCTCAAATAAACTCCAAAACTTTAATGTGTCTAACTTCTTTTTTTTTGGAGTCGGAGCCTCACTTTGTGGCCCAGGCTGGAGTACAGTGACACCCTCAGCCACCACAGCCTCGACCTGCTGGGCTCAGGTGATCCTTCCGCCTCAGCCTTCCAAGTAGCTGGAACTGCAAGTGCCCGCCACCATGTCTGTCTAAATTTTTTTTGTTATATTGTAGAGGTGAGGTCTCACCAAGTTGTCCAGACTGCTCTCGAACCCCTGGACTCAGGCAATTTTCTTGCCTTGGCCTCCCAAAGTGCTGGGATCATAGGAATGCTCATGGCCACCACAGCCTCGACCTACTGGGCTCAGGTGATCCTTCTACCTCAGCCTTCCAAGCTGAAACCACAGGCATGTATCACCACGCCCAGCTAATTTTTTGACTTATTGTAGAGAAAAGGTCTTGCCATGTTGCTCAGGCTGGTCTTAAACCCCTGAGCTCAGGCAGTCTTCTCACCTCAGCCTCCCAAAGTGCTGGGATTATAGGCTTGAGCCACTGCGCCTGGCTGCAGAATCCATATTTAACTTTTTTTTTGAGTTAGAGTCTCACTCTGTTGCCTACATTGGAGTGCAGTGGTGTGATCACAGCTCACCACAGCCTCAAATTCCTAGGTTTATGCGATTATTCTCCCTCAGCTTCCCGAGTTGCTGGGACTATAGGCATGCGCCACCACGCATGGTTAACTGTTGTTTTTTTTAGAGACAGGGTCTTGCTATGTCGCCCAAGTTGGCCTCTCCTACCTCAGCTTCCTGAGCAGCTGGCTGAGATTACAGGCTTGCACCACTGCACCCAGCTTAACTTTTTTCTGATTCCAGATCCTGTCCCTATGCCAGAAAAGTCAGGATTTAAGAGAGTTCAGAGTAGTTTGAGTGTGGGCTTCCACTGAACCTCAGACATGAGGAAGGGAGGGCCAGGGTAGAGTTTTCCAGGCAGGGATAAGGGCACAGGCAAAGGGGAGGAGGCACGAAGGTGGTCTGAGTCCGCTGGAGGGGCCAGCGTTAAGATGCAGAAGGGGAAACACACTAGAAAGGTGGGCTGGCTCGGGAAGTGGGACCCGGCAGGCAAGGGTAGGACGGCACTGGCAAGGGCATAATCAGCTGGAAAGCTGGAGGTAAGAGGGCCTGAACCCAAGTAGCAGAGGCAGAAATGAGAGGAAGTCTTGAGTTCAGGCAGCCGTTAGGACTTGCCACGAGTTGGAGCACAGTGCAGGATGGAAGAGGAGGAGGTGGAAAGACGCTGGCTGAACTTGTAGCCCACCTGAGGGGCTGTCATCCAGGCAGGGCGTTAGAAGTGTTTCCTATAGGTGAAAATCATCACCTGGATGTTGAAAGCGATTGCCAGCAGAGGAACCATCAGAAAGAGGAAGGAGACCAGGGCAGCACCTGGTCAAGAGGCCACCTGAGGAACATCTCGAGTGAATGTGCTCAGCAGCAGTGAATGATGGGAAGAGGCTGGAGTCATGGTCCTGTAGGGCCTGGCACACAGTAGGAACTCAATGAGTATTTGTGAAAGAAAAACCACAGCCAGATGTGGAGGCTCATGCCTGTAACTCCAGCACTTTGGAAGGCGGAGGCGAGAAGTTCGAGTCCAGCCTGGGCAACATGGCGAGACCTCGTCTCTAAAATAAGATTAAAAAATTAGCTGGGCGTGGTGGTACATACCTGTAGTCCCAGCTACTTGGAAGGCTGTCTGAAGGATCGCCTGAGTCCAGCAGGTCAGGGCTGCAGTGGCCATGAGTGTGCCACCGCACTCCAGCCTGGGCGACAGAGTGAGACTCCGACTCAAACAAACAAACAAACAAACAAACAAACAAAACCAGGAGTAAGTACATGAAACATTCAGGGCATGCAGCATGAAAGAAATAGCAATAGAATCTGAGTGTTCAGAGAGAAACTGAGAGATTGTTGCATTTGTTTCTGGAAAATGGCTGAGACCTGTTTCAAGGCCTTTTGTAACACTGAACACTTATTACTATTATTATTTATTTATTTGAATCAGAGTCTTACTCTGTTGCCCAGACTGGAATGCAGTGGCATGATCATGGCTACTGCAGCCTTGACCTGCTGAGCTCAGGTGATCCTTCGGCCTCAGCCTTACAAGTAGCTGGGACTGAAGGTGTGCACCACCACATCTTGCTAATTTTTAAAAATTTATTATAGAGATGAGGTCTTGCCAAGTTGGTCTTGAACACCAGGGTTCAGGCAATCCTCCTCACCGCAGCCTCCCAGAATGCTGGGGTTATATGTTCAAGCCACTGCGCCTGGTCTAAACACTCATTATTGGCCATTAGGAAACTTTGCCCTGACCTGCAGAGTGGCCGCTGGAGTGGTGTGGGGTTGAATGTGTGAACTTCATGTAGAAGTTGCAATTTTGGCTGGGCTCCGTGGCTCAGCCTGTAATTCCAGCACTCTGGGAGGCAGAGCCTAGTGGATTGCTTGAGCCTGTGGGTTCGAGACCAGCCCGGGCAACTTGGCAAGACCTCTTCTCTACAATAAATAAATAAAAAATTAGCCGGGCGCAGTAGCACGGACCTGTAGTTCCAGCTACTTGGAAGGCCGAGGCGGAAGGATCGCCGGAGCCCAGCAGGTCGATGCTGGGGTGGGTGTGAGCATGCCACTGCACTCCAACTTGGGTGATGGAGTGAGACTCCAACTTAAGCCTGGGCAGGCGAGACCTCATCTCTACAATAAATCAAAAAATTAGCCGGGCGTGGTAGCGCGCGCCTGTAATTCTGACTACTCGGAAGGCTGAGGCGGAAGGATCGCTGGAGCCCAGCAGGTCGAGGATGCGGTGGCCGGGAGCAGCCTGGATCTATTTACCAGCCACTGCACTCCAGTCTGGGTGACAGAGTGAGACTCAAAAAAAAAAAGTTGCAATTTTGTGCAAAATTGAGCCTTTTCCACTCAACCCCAACTTTTAGAGATTAAAAATACATATAATACCACCAGATGACTCTCATAATTCTATTACAAATCACTTTTTCCTTTCTCCAGTGTGTTGTGTTTTCCTTTTTTTTTTTTTGAGTTGGAGTCTCACTCTGTCGCCCAGACTGGAGTGCAGTGCCACTCCCAGTCACCGCAGCCTCGACCTGCTGGGCTCCGGCGATCCTTCTGCCTCAGCCTTCCAAGTAGCCGGAATTACAGGCATGCACTACTACGCCCGGCTGATTTTTTGATTTATTGTAGAGATGAGGTCTCCCTGCCCAGGCGGGTCTCGAACCCGTGAGCTCAGGCAATTCACTCACCTCAGCCTCCCAAAGGCGCGGGATTACAGGCTGAGCCACGGAGCCCGGCTGTGTTTTCCTTTAGAAAGAGAACAGTGGCAGGCTTGTTGGTGCTGTGACCTTTCCTGCAGTTCACCTTTAAGTGCTTTTAGTCATTTATTTTTTTTTGAGTTGGAGTCTTGCTTTGTCACCCTAGCCACCGCAGCCTCCACCTGCTGGGCTGAGGTGATCCTTCTGCCCCAGCCTTCCAAGTAGCTGGAACTATAGGCGCACGCCACCATGCCCGGCTAATTTTTTGATTTATTTTAGAGCGGTCTCTCCAATTAGCCCAGGCTGCTCTCGAACCCCTGGACTCAGCAATCCTCTTGCCTCCGTCTCCCAAAGTGCGGGGAGAACCCGCGTGAGCCTGGCTCGTTACGGCTTTAAAAATATTACTCTGAACAGAAGAGACAGTCCAGCGCCAGGGGTCGGGGCGGGGTGCGCAGGGCGCGTCAGACTCACTTGGCACAGAGTGGGGGTCACTGCGAGGGGGAGCTCTGGCCTGGATCTATTTACCAGCGGAGTCAGAGGCTGAAGTCCAGAGAGGGGTGAGGAGAGAAGAGGCCCGTCCCCGGGCCCCTCCCCTGCCTTTGATCCCAGGGCGACCATGCCCTTTGAGCCCGGGCCGGCGGGTGCTTGCCGCTTGCACACTCGGCTGTGGACTGCCGGGTCGGGCGGCCTCGCGGCTGGAAGGGTCCGCCGGCGGGCGGCATGCTGCGGCTGCTGG